TCCTCAGCATTGCCCTGATTTGTAAAGTGCTTTGTGGCCTGCTGATGAAAGTGCTATAAAAGAGTTCAGTATTCTCCATATTATTAACATTTACCTGTGAGTGGACATTTCAGTTTTACTTTCAAGCCAAACTAAAATGCACATAAGGATTTCAAAAAGTAAATGTCAATTTGAATTGCTAACAGCAACTGCTTTACCCCATACACATTTATCGTTAAATATATGCTGCCCTTACTACTCTTCCTCTATTTAAAAATGTCTTGAAGAAACCCAGGGAAAACAATATGTGTGTATGAGGACATCATAGCAGAAGAACAAAAAAAGTCGTCTTTGTTTATGGTATCTAGCTAAATGCTTTGCCTGCCTAACATAGTGGCTGGATACAGTAAAGAATAAATAAATTCATACTTCCAAGGCAAATTTGACTAGCTCATAAAAATCCTTGAATAGTTGTAACTCACTTTGAAATTTGGAGGCTAACCAGCCCAATTCCAGTGTCATTAAAGTACTTTCCATAATTAAAAAAGTGCTTCATGCTATGGATCTTAACAATGCAAATCTAATAACTTTGATTACTGTTTGGTTGCCTATTGCCAAGGTGCCTACACTTGGCTGCCCTCAACTGGCTCCTGAATAACACTCTCCATTTGCTGCTGTAGCTCTGGTTATTAAATGGATCTTTTTTTTCCCCCTTATTTTTTCAGTCTGTGAAAAGAGATGGGTAAGCATTCTCCTTGGGGTGATTTGTAAAGCGCAGCACAGAGGACTCGCATTCATGCTAAATATGACTAGGGTCAAAGTCTTGTCTGTGCTCCATTCAGGTGTCATTTGTCATCAGGCTCATTGAGCCATTCACAGAAAAACAGTGTGTTAAAGGCTTATATTGCTGTGCTTTCTGACATGATTGGATTAAAACCCTAGGGCCTGATTTTTGAAGGTGTTGGGAGCTGGCAGCTCCTAAGGTTTCCACTGAAATTGTTGCTAAATGGCTCTGCAAATCAGGTCTTTGCCTCACAAGAGTGTATATATTTCCTGTTTTGATCACAAAGGGAGTCAGTTTGTGCCTTACTTTTATAATTATTTCTTGCACTTTCACAGGATGTGTCAAGTAAACAAGGACTAGAGGCTAACACTAGTTTAGGGCCAAATCCTACAAGATACTTCCCGGGACTCGAGTAGGTACTGTGTGCAGGCTCGGCACCCTGGACGAGGCGCTCGTTTCTTCTCGGGATCATTCCCTTCAATAAGCATTTTGTGGGAGAAGGTTTGAAGGATGCTTCCTATTATGATGAAGGGGTGGAGAGGTTTTTCTGGAGGTATCAGGCTGACCAAGTTTCTGATGAAAGGATTATTTTAATGCTTCTGAGATTATAATGTAGCATAAGAGCAGCTAGAGCCTTAAATAGGTATATCTTTTCATTTTAAATTTAAATAAATAAAATATTGATATGGGGGGGGACTTATAAATTAGGCTTTCCTGTGAAGAGCTGAACACCCTTATCTTGCGTTACTTTATTTCATAGGATCTATGCCAACAGGCCTTCTGAGGAGAGGCTGAGAGCCATGGGACTCCTCAGCCTGGAGAAGCGAAGGCTCAGGGTGGACTTGGTGGCTGCCTATAAGTACATCGGGGTGTGCACCGGGAACTGGGGGAACGTCTGTTCACCAGGGCACCCCAAGGGAAGACAAGTTTTAGACTGGACATAAGTAAAACTTCTTCACCGTCCAAGTCTCCAGAGTCTGGAATAGACTCCCCCCAGAAGTGGTGCAAGCACCTACTCTGCATACCTTTAAGAAACGCCTGGATGCTGATCTTGCTGGGGTGATCTGACCCCAGCTGACTTGCTGCCTTTTGGGCAGGGGGCTGGACCTGAAGATCTCACAAGGTCCCTTCCAGCCCTAATAGCTATGAATCTAGTACTGTTAGCATTAATGTGTCATGGGACATACCTGGATTTAGCGGGCAGAAGATGTGTCTACATTGCAGTCGCTGCTTTGACTGCTGCCCACATAAAGTGCGCAGGTACCAGTAGTAGTAAGGTACCATTCGCAGTCTAGCTGCAGCAGGACAGGGCTCGGCACAAGTGGCGAAATCCATCTAAGAATATGGGTGAATACTTCAGCCGTTGGTCCCTGCATAGCCCCTTCCTCCTATGCTAACACTCCTAGCAGTAATTAAGCTACCTCGTTTAAAGCTACCTTGGGTATGTCTACATGAGTTGTATGTGCTTCGGTGCCCGCAGTGTTTACTTACACAGCGATGTCGATCTAAAGAGTGATTCTTAGGGTTTGTCAACCCTGGGGGACTTTTCATGAATGCAGTTATATTTTTATACCAACTCAGATCAACACACCAGACTCACGCAACAAGTGGCTTGAACCCCTGGAGCTTAATCCAGTAAGAAAAAGAAATGGTCCCAAAACAGGCCTCAAAATCCTGGTCTTCTCAACAGTATTATCAAGACCAGGTTGCCATGGGCTCTGGGTAATAATTCAAACAACATTTTAATGACTTGAATGCATACTGCTTTTCACCTGAGGAACCCAAAATACTTTGCTCACATTAATTAATTAGGCCTCACAATGCCTAGCAAGGTAGACAAGTATTACTTCATTTTACTGAAGGAGAAACTGAAACACAGATTAATTAATTCAATTTGCCCACGGCAACACAGTCAAGTCAGTGAGGACTTGATTTAAAGCCTGTTGAAGTCATCGGGAAGTCTGCTGCCTTCAACAGACTTGGGTGAAGGCTTTAGAAGAAATAGGAATAGACCTCAGTTCCCCTGAATCCCAGCCTATTTTTTAAAGCATCCAAATGTCCCAATGAGTTTTATAGGACAGTCCCAAATTTCAGAGCCATTTCCTGCAATCTCTGAAGAATCTCTGCATTGGGATTCTCCCAAGTTTGAAAAATGGATGTGAAATAAGCTGATCCCTTTGAGTGTGCCCAAGGCATAGGCAGTATCCTGCTCCAGCAGCTGAGAGGTTGAAGCTGTGGGCTGCCTCCTGAACTAGAGGCTGCACTCTGTGCAGCACTGTCCTGGGGCTAACTAGTTTTGCCTCTCAGCAGCTAATTAACCTATCTGCATTACTGAACAAAAAGCAGCAATGCTAACAGGAACTGGAAGTAATGTGGGCTCCTTCTGGCTTCAGAGGTCCAAGGGGTGTCTGCACCCACGTCCTGGATGTCGCGCCTTGAAAAGTGATCTTTCTCCTTTTTCTGCTCAAAACACCTGGCTTTCTTATACTCTCATTACCTTTTACTGGCAACAGGATTCCACCATCACCAGTATTTGGCCTCGCAGTTAATGGTCTCTTACTAAATGGCAGTGGGGAGGAGGGAAGGGGAACTGCTCCAAGAATAAGAAGATGGGGCAAGTATGGAAAGGACAGATGAAGCAGTGAAGGAATGGCGGGGTAGAAAAAGGCATCCATGATGCTCATCCTTTCAAAGTCCTCCCCCATATCAGCATCAGTCACATAGCAGTCAGACAGTAAAAGCAGCAGTATCAATAGGCAGGAGGGACGGCAGCCTTGGTTTCAAGCAGCAGGTAGAATGAATAACAACCTTGGTATTTTACTACTATAGCTCTGTGGAAAGGACTTTTGGAAAAAGCAAAATGTGTATTTCTGGCATTAAGGCTCATTGTTAAGCGACATATTTTTTTTTCCTTTTCTTGTCCTTTGAGACCCTTTTTAAAAAAAAAATACTGCATTTTTGTCAACCGAAATGAAAGACAAATGGTAACTTTGGAAGCAAAGGGAATTGAGGGGTACAGATGGGGAGCTGGAGTCTGCATAATGTGTCATGGCTCATCTTTCTCTGCCACCATTTTGTTGGTACTCTGGGAATAGAGTGAAAAATTGACAATTAAACTAGTGGTAAAGGATCCATGTGAACTCCAGCTGTGAATAAGGGATTAGTCCCAAAGCACAAAATGGAGTTGTGATATTCTGCTTCCCATATTTAAGGCACACAGCTCCCAACTTGACAAAGAATGAAGATAGTTCATTCCTGTTTTTGCTTTTCTTCATCAAGTCAGTGTTCAGAAAATAGCACCGGTTTCATCCTTCCCTGTATTTCACCACCAAAAGCTTACCTGGAAGAAGCCCTTATAGGTAGAAGTAAAATGGCTGGTCAATTTGTGTTCATCTGGTGGTTGACCTCTCTTTACACAGCCACAAATAAACTTGGCAATCTGGTATAATGGTGCAAATTAGTGGCAGTTTTTCTGAGGGCTTTCTAAGTCTCTTCATTTCTTCAGGGAATGGGTTTGAGAACATCAAACACTTTGCCTTACAAGGCACTAAACCACCCTACCGGATAGTAAGCCATTGGATAGGAGCAATAGTTGCGTCTTCTCTACCACTCTCCATTGTTAGCTCTTAAAGTATTTTGCAGGGAAAGAAAAGGATCTTTATTCCTCTTTTATAAAACAGAGGAACGAAGCCTTCAGAAGTAAAATGATTTCTCTGAGATCACCAGCAGTTTGTGGCTCTGGTTTCTTGAATTCCAGTTTGGTGAGGTGCTAACTTGGCTATCCCTTTCAGTCCCTTTAGTTGCCTTAGCCAGGTTAGCTCTGTATTTCATTTCTAGGTTCATAAACATCTAATCTCCCGCACCTTGTTCGTAAATGAGAGAGAAAACAGGCAGTTGTGTTCCCTCGTTATCTTTTCTTTTTGTGCACCTGTTTCTACATGGCCAGGTTCGGGCTGAAAGTGAGCATCTCGACCGATTTACCAGTGTATTTTTCAGTCCTAGGAACAGCATCAAAAACAACGTTTCCACCCGGTTTAACAGATGCAATCGTTCAACAATTATCCCATTAAGCATCTTCCTAATTCTTAAGTGCCTGTCTTAACTGAACCTTCAAACCTCTTAAAGTTCATCAGTTGTAATAAGCTGCTTAGCATTGTTTTAAGCCCTTGAAATCTGTGTGTTTCTCAAGGAAGGGGGATTCATTCTTCTTTTATCCTTTCTGATTTGTTGTTTATAGATCCAACACGGGTTATGGTGCCACCTTTCAGCATGGATGTCACTGTTGGAGAAAGTATTGTCCTGCCTTGCCAGGTATCTCATGATCACTCGCTAGATATTATGTTTACTTGGTCATTTAATGGACACCTCATAGACTTTGAAAAAGACGGGGATCACTTTGAAAGAGTTGGAGGGGTAAGTATTAATATTAAAACAGTCCCCAAAAGCCATTCACCTTTTCCACTGAAAGCTTCAGTAATGACCATAGATAACATAGAAAAGGAACCAAACTTAACGGGAAATAGAAAGTGTTAATATATCCAGGCTGATTGATATTTGTCTTGTGCTTTACAGACTACAAAGAAAACCGTTAGACAAATATTCTGGTTTGGTAGTATTTCACAGAGCCCGATATTAATGGGATTCCTTGAGCAATATCTTCTCATGAATTCTAGGAGCAGTATGTTTTTATGTCAGTGAATCCCACCAGTGCTAATGGGAGCTATGGCACATTCATTATTCCAGTTCATAGCATATAGACTTTTTTGATCTTCCCAGGGGAGAATACTCTCCTTAATATTTTTCCTCCCAGCTGAAGGAGCAAAGCATATACTAAACCACTGTAAAACTTTGCATTCACCAAGGTAGTTATAATTTTGTAGCAGCCCTTTTCCAGAGATCTCAAATCTGTTTGATTACTCTTTGAAATAATCAGCACGTTTCCCTAGTACCCTCACTGTGTGATCCCTCTTGTGACCAAGTTACCTCTGCAAGCTAAATATTTTCCCCCAACATTGAATAATCATCAGCAATATTGGGCATGGGATCATGGTTTCTTTATTTTATTGGCTGAGTTTTCCCAAAGGATGGTATAGAAAATAAGACTGAATACCACCTAATTTTATATATATTTGTGTGTGTGTGTGCGCGCGCATTTGCTTACATGAAAATCAAAACCGTGACTTTCAAACTTTTATAACTGTCAAAGGGTACCTTAATTATAGGTTACAAACACCATATCTGGAAGCTGATACCAAGTAAAGAAGTCAAATCTGGAAAAGGTTCTAGACATCTTGTGTGACAATTAAAATGAAAAATGGCTCCTTATACTGTATATTCCTCAGGGCAAGGGAGATTCATTCTTCAGTCATTAGGAAGCATCTCTCTAAAAATACTCTCTACTATTTTCTGAACAGTTGTTTTAAAGGTTCTGGGGATAAAAAACATGTTTTTTCCTCTGGCTCACCAATTCATGCATAGCCTCCAGAGTTGTTACCAACTGATAACTACCTACCAACATGCGAGAAATGAGTCCACATTCTTCTGGACAAGTGTTTGGATCAACTCAGTAAACTAGTCCTGTAACTGGCACTAATTGGCATCCTTGTTAGCAACCCAACCCGTAGAGTCTGAGTGTTAAATGGACACAGAGAATGAACTGCCCTCTCCCATCTGTTGAACAAGCTGAGATAAATTGGCATGACACCATGAGGAAGCCTGCGTTTCTGCTACCTGTGCTGAACCTTGTTGCCAATGGAAGATTTCAGTCCCCAGAGTTATAAATCCAGTGCTTAATATGTGAGCAGAACCAGCGGCCAGAATGAGGATTTTTCAGTACATCCCTAAAGGAGACCAGACATCCAAAGGGCATCAACCTTCAGGTCCTATTAATACAGGGCTAGGCTCCCATTTATGCACCTAAAATGGCCATTTTATCTAGGTGCTTAAACTAGACAGGAGCTTTTGGGACACATCTGTGCAGCTTTCCTGGTGCTCCTACTTACGCTGGTGAGAAGCTCAGTCCCACTCCCCCACTCACCGTGCGCACATGTGCAATCTGCAGACGAAGAGGTGAGGCCTCCCTAATGGCTTCACCCCACTGCTGGTGTCGAGCACATTGGGGAGGCAGCTCTCAGGGTGGGTTTACTGCTTTATTTCCTAGTTTGGAAAAGGTGGTAGGGGATGTGGCTCAGCAACAAGTTCATGTCCTCTGAGAAAGCCATTGAGTGTTAGGATTTTTTGAAGATCAGTAATGAACAGGCCAACATCCTTATTCCTTTCTAAATGTGTAGGGTATTGGGCCCAAGCAGTAAAAATCAATTAAATCGATGGGGCTAAGAACAGACATTTGGGTAGGTTAAATCAGATTCAAAATGGCTGCCTGATTTAAACTTAGCTCATTCGGGTGCCGACCTTACACTTGCAGACTCGGCCTCAGTGACCAGCAGTCAGTATAAACCTGTAACTGAGCAGAGGTTCCATGCATGCAAACTGGTCTAAAAATTGCAGAACCTGATTTAAGATCAATCTGGAGCTTTGTAGCATCAGACTAATTCGATGTAAGTCAAACCAGTGCATGGAACTTCTGTCCACTTCCCTCGCACAGCCCCAGGGTTGGGAAATCCCAGCCACTTGCCCCAGCCCTGGGGCTGTTCTTTTCACTGCATCTCCCCCTTCACTGGTCTGTTTTGTGCCCCCACCGCTTCCCCACCCACCACCAGCCAGCTCTCTCCACCCCCATGCCACTTGGAGTGCAGCTGCTTTTATCAGTGTTTGCCACTGCCAGTGGCAAGCAAGTAAGTCCCTGTGCAGGGCAGGGAGGATGAGGGATGAGGACCTACCCCACCCATGGGTAACACCTGCCCCCCCCCACCCATGGGATGCACCTGCCCTTCCTACCCTACCCGCAAGTTGTGTCTGATCCCTGTACCCATCGTGGCTTGCATCTGTCCCCATCCCCCAGCGGACCCCAGATCCCCTCCAGCCTGCTGGCCTCCCAACCCTCTGGCTAGTCCCCCCATCCTGACTTACCTGATACTAGGCAGCCATTTTGAATCAAGTTAACCTCCCCCAAATGCCCCCAAATGTCTGTACTTATCCTGGGAGCTCTTTCATTTAGTTCAGTATGATTAAGAACAATTGTGTTTTCCTTTCTCTGAAAGGTCTACTGCATGGCAGGCAAGGCAACCGGATGAGCACCATAGGGCACCCAGTCTCCTTTCATGGTACCTTATCTGTAGGCATAAGCATATGAACAGAAGACATGAGTTTATCCTGAACCCACCAATACATGTTAAATTTCCTTGTGCATTTTCCTACTCCAAAAATAGAAGCTAAACTCTTTTACACTGAGTACTAAGCTACTACAGTTTAGCTTTTATTTTCTGTGGGGTATGAGCATGTGCACAAGCACACACACACGCGCGTACACAGCCCCCTACTCCTATCCCATTACCTCTGGGAAACTGGTCATCTGTCCATATCCTATGACAGTATATTTGAGGTTTGACTTTGTAGATTTATGCTAGAATTTTCAAAGGATCCACATCTCTTTGAAGTTTAATGGAAATAGATGTCTAATTACAGAGGAGGTTAGCTAGCCATACCAGCTACAATAAATAGATAGGGTCAAGGTCCTGTGTATGCAGATTGGAAATAAGCTCTCCGGGAGATTAGGAGTAAAGAAGAATATCATTCTACTTCAGTTCAAAGTTTTAGAGTCTCCTTTGAAATGTAAATACGGGTGTGAGGTAGGGCTAGAAGAAGACAGGGTAGATATGCACCCGATAGACTAACTAAACAAGACATGTAGTAAGCATAAGCTTCCGTGAACTCAAGTTCACTTTATTAGATGCTAGAAGTCTCTTTAGAATCGCAGGAAAATGGGACCATAGGAGGTCACCTCATCCACCCATGCTCAAGGCAGAATCATCCCGGTCTGAAATATTCCAGTCAAGGGTTTTTCTAACCTGCTCTTAAAATATTCCAAGAGTAGAAATTCCACAACCTTTCTTGGTAGCTATTTTAATATTTTACTACGTTCATAACAAGAAAAGTATTCCTAATATCTACCCTGAATTTCCCTGGCTGCAATTTAAGATCATATTATTTCTTATCCTGTCCCCTGCAACTAAAGTACTGAATTACATCAGTACTTGTCCTCTCTGCTGAGACTGTCAACCAAGATACCACTTTATAATGTGGACTTCGGAATAAGAAACTACACCCAATAAGACCACAGCCATTTCACTGTCTATAGCCCCTGAGGATGCATCCCCACAAGCAGAAACATGAGTTCCCCAGGGACAAATAGTAGTGGCACATATTTGTCCTTGGGTAATGCCCCTGAATGTGTGCTCTGGCATGTGACAAGTTGCCCCAGGTGGGGTAGGAGAAGCTGGGGCCAACACCTTGACTGGCCCCAGCAGTTGTACCTGGGGACCTGGAGGCCACTCAGGGCTCCAGCAGTAGCAGTCCAAGTGCACAGAGCCTGGCCAGCAGCCAGCATGGCTTTGGCTGGCCAGGTTCCAGTTTTGGGCTGCACATGCTGCCACCACGTGTGCCACCCCACTTTTTTCTGGTGCAGGTATTTTTGACACTAGGAGCTCCTGGTGTCAAAAAAACCCACTGTGCTACAAATTAGCAGAGCAGGAAATGCCTGCATGTGCAGCATGTTCGGTTTGCAGCACCATGGATGGGTCTATGGCACCACAAACAGCACGCGCATATTCATGGGGAGATGCCCAGGGAGTCCTTAGCCATTAGGACCGTTCAGAACACAAACACTTAATCGATTAGGCTGTACGTAAAACACAGCAACAGCCACCACTTGCATTCAAAAACATGCAGGGAAGGAGCATGAAGATATCATGTGATGCCCCATAGGGCTGTGTGAAGCTTTGGTCCCTGATTCGATTTGGCAGAGATTCGGCCCAATTCAGTGGCCGAATCTCTGAATCCAAACTGAATGAGAGGACCCGTTAATCTCTCCAAATCAAATCAGAACCCTCCAAATCGATTTGGAGAGATTAGTAAAGATTCGGAGATTCGGACATAGAGACAACTTTAAATGTTTTCTCTACGTACCTCTAGGTAGCAGTGGCTCATGAGTGCTGCAGCACATGGAGTGCGCCACAGAAGCATGGTGGCCTCCCCAGCGTGCTCAGCAACAGACCCAGAAATGGACCAGAAGCACTTCCGATGCACTGTGGGTCCGCCGGGGAGCATGCTGGGGGGCCCCCGGCTTGGTGACTAGTGCCTCCTAGGTCTGGTGGGGCACCTGGGATCCCCCTGCAGCCAATCACTGAGCCTGGGGGCATGGGGGGGGGCCCAGCGTACTCCCCAGCTGACCCTGAAGTAGATCACAAGTACTTCCGGTCCACTTCTGAGTTCGTCCCTGAGCATGTGGAGCCCAC